TATCCGCAACCTTCAGAGCGATTATGGCTAATCGTCTGATGTTGGCAGTGAAGTCTTCCCTTGACATACAGGAGCGACCACTTTATCAATAAACTGCCATCTCAGCCTCTCATATTTGGCCCACCACTTGCAAATTTTGTCCAAGTTGGACTACTCCACGCTTTGCTTTTGTAGGCGGATGAATGTGCTTTGTTCGGGTTGAATACATGTCTATTAATTGATGGAGTGCTTTCGTCCTTTAGCACTCAGAACAAAGCACCTTCAATGCTGCTTTTCTCAAAGGATGCTCCATTGTATGATGCATAACCTCGTCACTCCCGAGTTTGTGAGTAAATTAATATGGGCTGCAACAGACCAGTCAATACAACTGAACGGAGAGGTCTGCTCCTATGCTGCCGAAACTGTCACCTACCCACATGAATGACTGAAGCAGTCAATCTTTCCTCTCGAAACCTTACTAGTCTCACCGCCCGTTGTCAATGTTCTTGTGTTGCTACAATCTGTTTGGGATATAGATCAAGAGGCAATGAAAAGGAAGCTGGTGGATGTGTTTTCGAATTTGCGCACCAACAGCCAGAGCGATTGGTGAAACCGACACTGCTGAGGAGACTCCTGCAGGAGTGAATAAATCCTTTGAGAGAGAGTCGAACTCAGAATCGAAACACATTTCGGTAGAGTTCATCCGAGCTATGATCTGACCACTGCAGTCTGCTGCTTGGGCTGTCCAGAGTTAAACTCAAATTCATCTTAACGCATGGAGCACCCTACTCCACTGTCCAGGATGTGGGCGAGGTCATCTAACATTAACACAAACTCTGCAACTACCAAAAAAAAGCTGAGGTTTAGACATTCCGTATACCAAAACACGTTCAAAAAAATGCAACTAAAACTCAGCATACCTTACTTCCTATGTACCATTCTTTTTGCATAACCACTGGTAATTGTGCTGGACCGGTTCGGTCTAAGATGGATTTGCAGAGGGGACTAAGGAATGTCTGGACGAGATTCAGAGTGAGTGAAAAAAGCAATAATGTGTAAACATATTCTAGAGATTCTGAATGGATAGGATGATTATTGAATAAAAGAATGCCTAGATAATGGGGTGGATGGAGAATAGGGGAC